AGAACCGACATACTCAACCCCACCAACAGGTCCAGTCCAGTTGTAAAAAGCCTGACTTGCAGACCAGTCTCAAGTTCGAACCTCCAAAATACATTTGCAGTGTGGTATGGTATGCGTGAGAAAAATCTCCTCCCCCTTTCTTAACATTGAAGAAAAAAAAAAAACAGGGTACTCCTAGGAGACAAGATACATGATGCTGGTATATTTCATCACTATTTAATTTTTGTCTAAGGGATGTTTTGGAGCACTATTTAAACTTATATAATAAAGAAAAAATAACTCAAGCCAGATTTAATTTAATTTTATGGGGAAAGCGCATCAATTTGGCAATGTCAAGTTCAATGAAAAACCCACTCACTCACATGATCCGAGTGTGCAACTGACTAAAAATACTATAAAATTCAAAGTCTCAGACTGGGACATGGAAAATAATAAAACGGGGTGAGATTCAATAGAAAAGAGACCACAGTATATATATATATAACCCATGGTTGATTGAAGGAAAAAATAAAAAGAAGCTATATGCTCTGAGTCTGAGTGCTGTCCATTGGATGAGCAGAGGCAAAATAAACCCTTTGGAAAACACACAAAAAGTCCACATAGGTAAAGGGTAAATGAGCCAATTCATTGCAGATGTTCCCCATCTTGGGTCCATAAATATGAACTTGTGTAACCAAATTCCATATGATAAAGTAGTTCCTACCCATACAGAACTTTGAGCCTATTGGCCCCATATCATTTCAACATGCTTCCAGTCAAACAAGCAAGTCTATAAATACCAGACATGAGACATGTTTCTTAGAGAGGGGTGGAAGAAGGAAGGAAATAAATATCAAGAAAAAGCAAAAGACAGAAATCCTTCTGTGTGGCCCCTCCATTATTCACTCACTCACTCACAAGCCTTTCAGCAAAATAAAGCTCCCTAGCCACCAGTTCAAGTTAGAAAAGGCAATGCCCCACCAGAGAGTACTCTTTTGGCCTTTGATCAACTCCCCATAATTGAGATATGGGACTTCAGCCATCTGCACCACAAAGGAAACGTTTCAAATTTAACAACTGACAACAAAGAGGTCAGAGGCTCAGAGCCAAATGAGAACATTGACAGTAAAAACCTAATTACCATTAGGAACTCCAGAGTTGGATGAAAGATCAAGCCAGGTGTCTGTGCTCTTTGGTGGCTGCCAGTCTCCAAAGAAGTGGTGCAGTGACTTTTGGGTTTCAGCTGCTTCTTTCTCTGTTTTGATTGCTCTGCTTGATTTGAAATCAGTGCCCCAAACAAAGCAATGCTGCTCCTCCTCCTGTGATTGTTGAGAAACTTCTGGATTATGATGATCTGTGAGGCTTTGGAACTGTGGTTGAGAGTAGCCTCTGTAGGAACTCATCAGTGGCTGACATGATGATGAGCCCCCAGTCAATATGCTTCTTCCATTTGCTGAAGACTCTGGAAAGAAAGCTAGCTCATCCACACTTCCCTTCGTTCCATGAAGATACCTACTGGCAAAAGAAAGAACAGAACTTAATGGGAAAAACAAAACAAGAAGACAAAAATAAATCATGGGTTAATCTGATTTTTGTTAACACAAACCTGTAATCTTTTTCAGCTTGAGTGTTATAAGATCCAGAGTTCAAAAAAAGGTGAGGGGTAGCAGAAGAGCTGTTGTTCTGAGGTGAGAAAACAGAACCGGGAGGAGGCCTAGAACTTGAAGAGGAAGACTGAGGGTAATTAAGGAAGGGATAAAGGGGTGAATTAGATTGGTGAGGGTGATGTTGGGTTTGTGTTTCAGTGGACATGGATGAGGAAAGTGGAGAGAGAGAGTAGGAAGAGGTTTTGGAGAGGTTTTTGTTGTTCGGTGATGAGAGGGCTGAAGAAGAAGAAGATGAAGGGTGCTCTGTTGCAGTTGTTGTTGTTGAAGGAGTTGTAGTTGATGAAGAAACTTCCACAGGCTTTCTTGAACGGTTTCTGCCTCTGTGCATATGCCTCTCACAGTACTTTGAGTCTGGGTAAGCTTCCTTTGAGCACCTCCATTTTTTACCATCTGTTCTTCTGCACCTCCCTGGCTCTGGGTCTACCTTTCTGCCAAAACCCATCTCATAACAGCCCCATCCCACTGCACCCACACAAGTACCAAAGACACCCAAATTATTACAAAACAAATATATCATTACTTTTTTTTAAATCTCAAAAAATTAAAATAACATAGAAACTAATAACAAAAAAAAACAAAACAAAACAAAACCATGAACAAAACATGTGCTTACTGGGATGGGGGAAGAGTCTTGAAGAAATTGAATTGTCCAACCTTCTCTTTAAAGAAAAGACAAGATCAGTTGGAATAGGTATCCCTGAGGCCATGTACTTGAAGATGAGAGCTTGGTGTTCAAGCTCTTGCCACTGATTTGGTGTGAAAGGGTACCTATTTCTTGCAGTATTTGGATTTCCACTCAACATTTTTTTTTTCCTTCTGATTTTTCAAGCAGAACAAATTTATATAAAAAAAGAAGAAGAAAACAAAACAAAGAATTAATAATCCTTCAAAATACCAAGGTGATGAAAAACAAGAAGAAGAAGGATTCAGGAAGAACAGCTTTGGAGATTATAAGAGACACAGAAAGGGGGGTTTGTTTTTTGTTGAGCTGATTGTATAGTGGGTTGCAGGCTTCTTTTATGCATGGGTGAAACTAATGGCTCTTGAGAGCCTCTGAAGACACTCTCTCTCCTCTATTTCTCTCTCTTCTCTGTGCACCCTGTCCGTCTGACAGAGTCTGCTCTTATTATGACTGCAACTCTGCCCCTGCTCCTGCTCTGCAGCTGCCCCTGCGCATTACTCACATGAGTGTGGGCCCACGTGTGACCGCTGCATGGTCCCACGTGTGTAGGCCTGACGGAAATGTCCCACTGGCACAGGATAGCTGCTCCTTGTTGCCGCTCCTGTCTCTCAATCTCTACACGACAGAAATCCATAAAACAAAAAAAATAAAAAAATGAAGTGTCATTAAGAAAAAATGCACCTTTCTTCTTTGGTTTGCTGTCTCCACATCATATATAGTCTCCTTGAGAAGCGTGCCTTGTTTTTACGTGAGGCTGCAAAATTTAATAGCAAAGCAAATCTCTTCTGTAATGTGAAATGTGAAGCTCTTTGTTAATGGCAAAGTGAGAGTTTTTTTATATTTGTCATCCTCCCTCTCAGTGTAGAGAAAGACTTCTATAATATTATG